AAAAAAAAAAAAAAACCGCCACTGTTATTACATTTTGTTTACATTGTAGGAACGTTTTTAAAATGTTAGATGTGATTATTAAAATTGTGAAAATTGTATACAGTGATGCAAATTATGAAATCCTTCTTGCATTTTTTTATTTTTATTTTTTGTAAAATTAACAAAAATCTATAGTTTGTAATTTATCAAAATTTATATATACGTTAGAATGTGCTGGCAACGTTTCATTAAGCAATGAAAATAAAAGTGGCAGTGTAGAACGTTGTAAAATAATATGTGTTTGTGTGTGTGTGCGTGCGTGCGTGCATGTGTGTGTGTGTGAGAGAGAGAGAGAGAGAGAGAGAGTAGGTGACTGATTATATATGCACAAGTTTGAGCGTATGTGAGGCATCACCTCCCCATTCGCCAACAGTTTCAGTAACAACCTCTCACCTAAAATGGGCCATACCTGTTGTAATTTGCATTACAATAAATTGATCTTCGTAGTGCGAGCTGTCTTCCCGGATGCTCATTTGGCAGTGTGGACAGAGTCGGGCGTAGACGTTACAGTATGTGTGGTGCAGACTCGAGGTCGAGCTCTTTATAAGGCGTAGAAGCAAATTCATGATTGTGAGTATCACTTTTTCTTCAATAACCACCGCCATAAAAGGTGCAGACGAATGAAAGAATATTTACGACAAATTCGTATGAGAAGAAGTCCTTGTTCTACTATTCCTATTTTCACTTGTGTCAGCCGGGATTGTAGAATTTATTGGTTACAGTGCATTGGGACTCAAAATGTACTGGATGAACGGCGCTCTCGTCTGACTTTTGGTGAAAATCTAAGTTTTCTTGAAATCTTTTAGCTCTAGATGCACTTTTTAGCACTGTTGGAACATTCAAGCAATGCAAACGGCTCTTTCGACGACAAATGCCAAAGTTTTAAAAGGAATTTAAAATGTTTTTCATTTTATCTTGTTATCGATGTTTCTTTTTGAGCAAGATGACTCAAATAGTTATATCTTTCACTTCAGATCATAATTTTGACATAAGGCAACCTTGCTTTGCTTTTTTTTCTGCGCAAGCCGAATCTGAACATCAGACAAATCAGTAAACACGCACACCTTTTCAATTATACGTTCCCTCTCCTCTGTGATATTGTATTATTCGTATATTAAAAGACTAGTACTGTAAGTTTAGTCTAAAGTTGTAAACATTATTTTTCTCCTTTCAGAAACCCACCGAGATTGTGCACAACATGTGGCCAGCGACCTAGCTATTGTGCCAAGACTTTGTTTCTCACACAAGAACCCCACGCTCATTCCTGGATCTATTACATATGATCACTAAATAAATACTACTAAATTTGAAATTCAGCGTTTTTCTTTCACTCTGTTATAAAATTATGGTGATAGAGTAATGATAAGGGGGAATGAATAATTTTATTTCGTGTTTGACGATTTTCAAATTCAATCTGCCAAATCTGATCTTGAAAATGTCTTAATGTTTTTTTTTCTGTGAATGACAGTTTCTTATGGAACCTAAAATTGAAATACCCAGTATTTTGTAAATAATGAAATTGAGCATTAAGAATATTTTTTCAATGACTTTTCAGCAACGCACATTTGTAAATCAAATTTGCTTAAGTTTTACAATCCTGCTTCTTAAAAATCCACATTTATTTTTTATTCTATATCAAAATGGAACTAATTTGTTTGACTTCCCAGATATATATTTCCTATATTTCTTTAAATTTGCATAAATTTACAATCCTGCTTTTTTAAAATTCTACATAAATTTTTTGTTCTATATCAAAATGGAACTAATTCTTGTGTATATATTCGTGGATATATTTCCCTATATTTTTTTAATAGGACGGGCCCTTTTTTGACAGATTCTGGTTTTTCCTTCCATGAATTAATTCATTTGGAGAATTGTTCTTCAAATGAATACTTCTATGTAAAATTTGAAAAAAAAATGGAAGGTTTCCCTCCAACAGAATGAACTCGCCCCACCCAAAACACCTCCAATGGAATGCACCCACCCTACCAGTCACCCCTCTGGCGGAATGGACCCTCCCTACCTGACACCCCTCTTGCAGAATCGACTCGCCCCACCTGACACCCCTCTGACAAAAAGGACTTGTCCCACCTGACATCCCTCTGACAAAATAGACTCGCCCCACCTGACATCCCTCCAAAGGAATGGGCTCGCCCTACCTAACACCCCTCTGGCAGAATCAACTCGCCACACCTGACACCCCTCTGACAAAATAGACTCGCACCACCTGACACCCCTCTGACAAAATAGACTCTCCCCACCGATGGAATGGACTTGCCCCACCTGACATCAACCCAACGGAATGGGCTCACCCTACCTGACAACCCCTAGTTGGAATCTGATTGCCCCGCCTGACACCCTCCCAATGGAATGGACTCTACCTTGCCTATTTGGTTACAGACCCATACAAGATAGGGTTAAGATCGGCCATTAAATGAACTTCAATTGACCAATCTTCGTGTTACTGCTGCTCTTATTCACTCCGATGTTAGCTAACCTTGCAAAAAAGATTTTTAGAATGTATTTCTTTAATTGGAGTTAAAACAATTCACTTGTTAATCTTAAACACCAAACAACTACCAATCTTATTTGAAAACACTTTTTTTAATCATTTTGATAAAGTTCATTACGGTATTGATGTCTGTTCAGTCCTTCTTGGAAATATTGAACACTAGAACATGGTGGTTTATTCAATTTAAAGTTCATTTAAGCTTTCCATCACATGTCGGTATTTTTGGGGTACATACCAACAGTCCAGGTTTTTCAATCCGAACCACTCTAGTGGCCAACTAACCCCAACCCCAATTTGTAATTATCCGCTTATCAAACAGCGTAAGACGCAGGCTTTCGGCCCAACGTTGGTACGACAGCGATTTAATTTAATTTTGGGCAATCCATTCTGCCCTTTCAATTTAGACCGAGGCTTTCGTACGGAGAATGGGTGGTCCTATGATGTGCATCAGGTGAGCATTTGAGTGAGAAGTGTTCAGATAGGTCCAAGGTCAGTCGCTGGCCAGTAGAAGAAGAAGAAGAAGAAAAAGGAAACGTCATGCAACATTGCTAAAATTTCCACGTGTAGGCCAAAAATTTGGCACTGTAAACGGCAGCAATCTTCTGTAAGTACCGTATATAGGTGAAGTAAGATATAATAACATATTTGCTTATTTTGCGTTGACAATATTTGCCCAAAATGGTACCTTTCGCATTTAACTTCCAAACCCAATATATATAGAGGTGCAATTCACATGCTCAAGGTATAAAAAATTGAATGAATTCGAAGTCGTATTATTTTTTTAAAAACATATATGTGTTTAGTTTAAATCCACGGCTGTCTCAATTTTACATCTACACCAAATTTTTACCATGTCTATACATTATGTAAGGACCCTAAATTGTAACATATGTTCCAGTAACGTATTATCCGGGGTATATAATTTCAATTTTTATGTGGCTTTCCGATGAATTTTGTAGTGATTCAGTCATGGTTAATTATATATGACGTAAGGATGTTTGTATAAATCTTTAAACTGTAACTCAAGGGACTTTGCGTCATGGCTAATACCAACTAACGTATATTCCCCAGAAAAAATTGTCAGAATGTTTCATCTTGCCCAAGTACTTGGTGCAATAGGAAATAGGGTTTTCTGTTGCTGACTGAAAAATATACTACGATTCCATGATAATTTTACATTTCTGCTATAATATTTGGACCACGAGTGGCAAATAGTTTATTTAATGCTTATTTTACTGGTCAGTAGGGTGTATCCCCCCCCCTCCCCCCCCCCCCATTTTTAATATTCAGTGACAAGCAAAAGCACAGAAGAATATCATAATTTTACAACGTTTTACTTGTAGGAGAACAAAACCAACAGCGATGATTGAATTTTCAAATTGAGTAAAACGTTTCCACAGCTGGACGTTTTGTATTTGTGACAGTAACGCATGTTCCTTTTTGGGGTTAGACGATGAATTATTTTTCATTATTCATGGTTCCAGGAGAGTGAAACTTTGATACAAACTTCTTCATGAGGGACCTTAAAATAATCAAACACAGTTTGTAATCTGTGCACTATATATTTTTAAGAGCATGTCTGTGACCGCATTTGCACCACTATATTGGGTTTGCACTAAGTCATGAGGGCCTTCGGGGCATTTTACTCAAGAAAACTACCCTTTTACCTTAAAATTTTAATTGGGTTTGATTAGTTCACTTTTCTGTTATTTATTTTCCAGGGGGAACGCATTTGTCAATTAAAGAAGCAAGGGCTAATTCTAAGGGATGGAACACCAATGTAGGAACCAAGGGCCAATTCCAATGGATTGAACGCATCTTCCGCCTTAAACAATATTGGAAAACTAGCCAGGTAACTACATTCGAATCTTCTTATTTACACCCTTTTTATAGCGCATCTATTAAAAGATGATGAATTGCTATTCCACTACAATCTTGGAAACGAAGCGTTGTCGTGCACACAATACGCATATGGAGGATCTACCCAGTAAACACATAACATTATAATAACGTAACGGTAAACCATAACGTTTGTAGATCTAAAACAAATATGTTATGGTTATGTTATAATAAAGTCATGTGTTTAATGTGTTTATTGGGCAGGACGTGCACAGCTCGCACCCCTCTGCCCTTCCCTCCGTGTCGGGGGGTGGGGGGTGGGGGGAGGGGGGGTCCTTTCTCCTTCCCCACAAAACGGTAGAACCAAGAAGTTATAACTTCTTGGTAGAACTAACGTTCAACGAGACTAAACCAACCGATTTTTTCTTCTCCTACATGTTCAGCAAAATTGTCCTCGTCTATTGTTTCATAATTTTCGAGCGAGAGTGACTTTTTTCTATCTCCTCCCCTGACGAACTCCTAGATACACCAGTGATTTTTTATCATGGCTTTTTCGTTCTTTTCTTCTGAGATCTCGTGGCGTATTGCATGCAAAACTAGACCTTTCAGTAAAATGCTCTCATTTATAAAATTTCACTTACTACAGGATATAAAAAGATAGAAGTGGCATAGTTGTAAAGACCCTGATTACATGGAATATGCTCGTTCAGTTAATATATTTGCATCATTTAAAAGTAAGATAGTTATTTCTTTAATATAATTTCTAACCGTTGCCCATTGTTTGTGAAATGAATGATTTTTGTTTTATTTCAGTAACTTACCTACCGTTTGCGAAGAGATTGGATGGGTTCTTCATCAAAATCGGCAGCTTTTAGTTCCACAACGCCCGCCCCCTTTCATACCAAGCCAAGATGGTCTCGATTGTCGAAATTTATCGTGTAGTTGATATCAGGGAATTATATCGGATATAATTTTCTGTTAATATGTAGGGTTGACAGTTTATATGGAATATAATTTTCGCTTAGGTTTGTAATAGTCTATATGCAAAGTTCCTTGTTGAAGCGATGCATGAAAAGATAATGATAAATTAAATGATATAAAATTATCACCAAATGATGTTAAGGTAGAGTAAAGTGCCAGTAGATTTTCAACTTGACAGTAAAAAGATGTGTGGGCAAATCTGCAATAAGACATGCACTTGAAGATAATATGTTCATTTTAAAATGAAGTCGGTTTTATTTTGATGGAGGTAACATTTTGGAAGAAAAAGCGTCGTCGTAACTCCATTATGTCAAATTGCATAAAGGGAACTTCTTTATAGATGATTATATTTTGTTTTCAGTTGAAGAAGAAAACGAGTGATGTCAATCAATAATAACTTGAAACATTCTCATCCGAGTTATATCGCAGAATGTGCGTTATTGCAGAATTGCCGTCACGTATTTGAAATAGTTGCTTTTAAAATCATCCAAATAGAGTTGTGAAGCATGCTGAGAAAAAACTTCGGTTTATGGTGTTTTTATACTGCGTATATATGATCAGTGTCGGAGACATTTTCTTAGTACTGAAAGGAGTTCAAAGTGTTTGTGTTTTAAGAAAATGAACGCAGAGATGGTTAAAGATACTTCCCAAAATAATTATATGCATTTTGTTAATGCTGAAGTAGGATGCATGTTGCGTACATAATTAACGTTCTCTTTTTGGGCTACCGAAATCCCCCAGCATAGAGCATGTTTGTGCGTTGTTCGACTTTTTACCAATGTTACACACACAAAAAAGAACGCCGATTTCTACAAATAGTGTTATTTCATCATCTCTGACCTTTTGCTTTGTAGATTAAAAAAAAGTTATCAGATTTAAATTAATCACCTCAGCTGTTGCCAAGCCCTTTTTGATGGGGGGGGGGGGGTCCCAAATAATTTAGTGAATTTTTAGGACGTCAATTTTGGTTGCATTAAATGTGAAAAAATTAATAAGAAACTTACAAAAAAGTTCCAACATTACATTTACAGCTATATTTGGCATATTTTTGTTTAGCGTTTTTTAAAGTTTGGCGAATTTGCCATATTATCATCAGTGCATAAGATTCGATGGAATTTTGCTTCTCTTAATAGATGCGAAAAATCGATATTCTATCAAAATTACATGAATAATGACACTGGTTGGTTTGAAGTCAAAAGAAAAAAAAATGACAAAAACTTTGCAGGTAATCGTAAGCACTCTGTTGAAGGCTGCATTGTATTAAGTGTATTCTGTTTTTTGGTTGGGATCAAGTGTATTCTGTTTTTTGGTTGGGATCGTGGGTAATTTAGAAAAATGCTTGATTAGATGCACTTTCTGTTGGGTTAATTTGGCGGAGTCTCTCTCGATCACTGAACACCGGAAACAAGAATTGAGTTCATTGGCATTTACTGATTAAATGTGTTAGTTATTTCAACTAAACTGCGTAACCTTTTCAGTTTTGTTTACATGTTATTCTTATAAAAAGCTATGACTGAGATGAGCTTGTAAACTACCATCTCATTAATTCCGTGCTGTTTGAATTAGTTTTCACTGGAAATTGTGCCGTCAGGAATATTTTTTTATGATTTAATGTGAAAAAAAATGTATAGCATTAGTAACATTTATCGATGAGCAGAACACCCTTGAAACAGACTAGATGAAAAAAAGCGTACATGTCCTCCCTGGAAATTTGAAAACTTGTCGTTTGTTTGTGTAAAAAGTGTCATTCTACGAACCATACTCGATCTTTTTTTGTTGTTGTTGTTGTACCAACAAAGTGTTCAGAGTTAACGATTGAAGTCTCCGTCTGTAAAGCTTTTCCCAAACTCGAAGAGCTGATTTGCATTTTAAATACTGATTTGCTTTTTAAATACTTGAATGTATATATTTCTCAATTTTGGTAATCAGAATCTTAATTAAGAAAACATGTAATCAGTAAGATTCTTAACATCCATTTTCGGAATTTGGCCCTGTAGATTCGTAGAATGTACAATATGACTTGTATATAGTT